CAAAAAAAAAAAAAAAAAAAAAAAAAAAGTTTCCCTTCTACCCCATGTCCTCAGCTTTGCCTCCTAAAATTCGATCCTCTTCCCTAAGTACCCTGAGCCTCGTGTCAGAAATGCTGGGTCAAGGTACTCAGCAGTCTGTAAATCCTGAGGCCACGAGTGGATGTTCCTTCAATCCAAGGAGCAAGCTTTCCTGTTGGAAAAGGAAAAGGAAATTGTTCAGCCCCATTGTTCTTGGAGGACCCAACAGACTGTAGCTGATGCTCAGGGTCTCTTATCTGTAGGCCCACCATTTGTTTCTGCTTTGTCTCTCCCATGTCTTTCTGTTTCCCTGTCTCTGGATGCCTTCTTCTTTCCTGTCCCCTCTATGTTCTCTGTCGCTGGAGTATCCACTAGAGACAAGGGCTGGGCTGGGTGCATGGGGGGGTAGTGGCCAGACCAGGGGCCCGGGACATGAGCGCAAGTTTCCAAGCTTCTCTTCCAGGCCCCTGTGGTTGGGGAGCTCCACAGAGGGAGAGATGAGTCAGCGGGGCCGCAGAGCAGCAGGGGCCTGGGTGGGGGTAGGGAAGCTGGGGTTCCCCAGGGCCAGGGAGTTCACTGGGGCCATCTGGGTCTCTGAACTCTGGTGTGTGTGGGGAGTATCGGATCAAATACTCCCCACACGCACCAGACCTAAAGGTACACTGGAGCTTCTTATACTAGTAGGAGTTGGAGGCAGCAATTTGCAGGACTGGCAGTGGTCTCCATATCACCCTTATCCCCAGATCCTTATAGGGAGAGGGGTTCCCAAATGGCCTTTAGGAGACCTCAGGGATCTCCAGAGCTGTAGAGTTGTAATGATAGCCCTGGGTATATGTGTGTGACATTTGCCACATGTGTAGATACATGTGTTGATGTGAGTCTGTGAGTCCGCGTGAGGCGTATTCTAGGTGACTGTGAGTCTGTATGCATGTAAACATACTGGTGTGTGCATTTTTATGATTGGGGGTTAGGGTGTCTTGGGGTAAGCATTATCTGTAGAGTATATGTATATATAGTGTGCGTCAATATGGGTGCCTGCATAGTACAAATGTGTATGAATTATGTGTCACCTTGTGTGTGTGCAAGTACGCAGATCTGAATGTGTCACTCATCAGGTATGCATTAGAGCATGTGTCAGTCTCTCTATTTCAGGGGATCTGCTCACTATTCTCTGGTGATTCTCCCTAGGGTAGTCAAGCCTTCTCTAACAGCAACAATGAAGAGTTGGGAGTCACTTTGGATGAGGCCGTTAGAGACAGCCCAGCCTAGAAGGGTGGTAGAGGGCGATGGTGTACACGACGGAGGGTGCATCCCTCGGGAGTAGGGGGTACAAGTCTCCCACTCTCCACTGATCTTTCCAAAAAGATCCAAAATCATTTGGAGAACTGAGGCAAGTTCCAGATTCAACCCCCTCTAACCTAGAAAGCCCACCCTGATTCTCCTAGGGGAGGGTGAGAAGGGAGTGGTTCCTGTGGTTCAGCGAGTCCTGGCATTGGGATATCAGAAAGGCATCATCCCACCCCTTCCTTCTGGGGCATCCATCCCTTGGAGTTCAGTGTCTGGGTGGCCATGGGCGGAGGCTGAGGGGCCCCCAGGGTGGTGGGGGGTGGTGGATAGAAACCAGATGCCTAGGGGGTTTATACTGGAAGGACCAGAGCCGCAGCCTCTACCCGCCCCTGCCACATGGCGCCTCTGCTTGGGCTGCCCCACCCCCTGGGAGGCTGGGCTGAGGGAGGCCTGAGAGGGTGGAGGTAAGTCCTTGGTTAAGGCTTCTAATTGCTGCCCCCAGCCCCTCAGGGCACTGGGAAGGAGACTGGGGAGCTAGACCCAGGAACACGAGCACCTCAGCTGGCCTGCAGGATTATCTTTAAAAAGGATGTGGGAGAAGTCAGAACCCAGGGGGTTCTGAGCAGAGGGGCTTCATGCAGCCCCTCTGCCCATCTTTGGCCCTGATCTCTGGTGGGGGGCAGGCTCTGTGTCCAGGGGCTGTCCTATGTTGACCCATCAGGGGTCCTGGCTCACATCTTCCTGGAACTCTGCTCCTCATTTTTCTTTCCCCAGCACTCAGGATTTGAATGTGTCTGCCCCTTCCCAGGTAGGGTTAGGGATTAAAGCCCACACAGGGAGTGAGAAGGTGACCCTTCCTTCCAACTCCTCTCCCCAGCCCTGTCCATTCATCTTTCCACCCTTCCTCCTTTTACCCTTCCGTCTCTTCCTTTCTTCTCTCATCTAATCTGAGTCCCAACCCCCTCCTCACCTGCTCTCTCTTCTTTAGAGGGTCACGGGGTAGAAGGGAAGCCTCTCTAGAGTCCTCCTCTGCCTCAGTTTCCTTCCTGATCAAACTGGTCTTAGGCTTTTCTGCTGGTGATACAGGAATTGCTCTAAATTTTCTCCTTCCCAACGTCTGAGTTGGGGGCCCCAGAAATCCAACTGGCACCTCAGTCTCAGACTCCTCCCAGCCAGGGGGAGACCGTGAGGTCACAGGGACACCCCACCACGGGCACTTCCTCTCGGGCAGACGGGTGGGGTGGCCCGTGTAATCAGCGGACACAATTATGCGCTATTTATGTTCCATCCCCGCCCCCCCACCTGCCTGGCAGCGCAACCCTCCTCCTCCTCCTCTTCTGGACCTGGCTATGCCTCAGGCTATTTTCCCTGTCCTTCCCAAGCCTTTGTCTCTCCATCTTTGTTCCTCTGTCCTGTTTCTGTACCTTTTTAGGTTTTTTCCTGATCTTTCTTTTTTTTTTTTTTTAAAACCACACATCTGGTCTTCTGTTTTCCTCTTTCCTATCTCTTTCTTACACCGAGTGATATCTCTTCTGATTCTCTTGGACAGTTTCATTTGCTCTGTTTCTTCTTTTGCTTCTTTCTCTTTGTCAGCTACCTGGTTCCCTAACCCTTCCCCTAAACCTTGGATTCCCAGAGTTCCTTGGGGTAAATCAAATCGTGGGGCTAGAATCCAGAACTCCTGGGTCCTACCCTGAAATTCGTGCCTGCCTATTGGCAAAACTGCTGTGCAGACCTCCCTGGACCTCCATCTGCTCCTGCCACCTCCCAGACTTTTCTTTGGAGATCTGGGAGAGCTAAAGGAGCGAGGAAGTGGGCACTCCGAGAAAGTGAGGGGATGGTGTTGAGGAGTGAGGAGGGTGGAAAGGACAGGGCTTTATTCCCCTGACAGGAAGAGCTGGGAGGGGGAGAGATGTGTGTTAAGGAATAAGCTGCCAAACAACCCCAGCACGCGAAGCCCCCTGCAGGAGAGCTGTCGGTTCCACCACTAGGCTGCCCAGTCCTCTCTCTCCCATAAATACCTGGGGGTCCAGGGCCCAGGTTTCAGGTAATAGACTTTTTGGGTTTCCCTCCCAACCTGGCTGACCTTTCTTCTCTTATTTCCTATTTTGATGGGAAGTCAAAGTTGGGAAGTCCTTATTAAGTTGTAACTTCAGTTCTTTCTTTGGAAGAGGGAATTGAGGCATGACAATGAGAAAGGGAACTGGGAGTTCCCAGGAAAGTCAGATCACTCAGGAGAACTGTCCACCAAAGGGTGGAGATTAAACTCGTGGCCTCCAAGAGAGGCCCAGGGACGGTAACTGACAAGGAATGATGGAGGTGAGGGCATTTCTTTTTGGGGGAAATAATCCAAAGGTGCTAGGTGTCAGTATGAATGAGTTGACCCAATGACCTTCCATGGCCACCCTCACCCCTGCCTCTCTTTTTTTTTTTTTTTTTTTTTGAGTTTTTTAGATGGAGTCTTGCCCTGTCAGCCAGGCTGGGTTCAGTGGCCCCAGCTTGGCTTACTGAAGCCTCTGCCTCCCAGGCTCATGATTGTCCTGCCTCAGCCTCCAGAGTAGCTGGGATTACAGGCACACACCACCACACCCGGCTAATTTTTTTTTGTATTTTCAGTAGAGATGGTGTTTCACCATGTTGGCCAGGCTAGTCTCGAACTCCTGACCTCAGATGATCCACCCGCCTTGGCCTCCCAAAGTGCTGGGATTATAGGCATAAATCACTGTGCCTGGCCTCCTGCCTGTCTTAAATTCTCTCTTCATCAGAAGATCCAGGCTCTGCCCCACAAGGTGAGGTAGGCCTAGGTATCCAAACAGTGAAACTGAGGCACTGGGAGGAAAACTGAGGGACCCCCAAGCCAATACCAAGCCTTCCCTAACTCTTCACCCCTTCCTCCAGGCCTTACTCTGGAACCTACCTCAGTGACACTAAAAGTTTAGGCAGCAGAAGCCTCCACCTCAGAACCTTCCGTCCCTCTTCACACAACACACACACACACACACACACACACACACACACTTGGGCACGTACACGCTGCTCTCCTGATCTAGAGGCAGGTGGGTGACTGGGGAAGCAAGTTCTCCATGGTCAGCTGGGGCGGGTGTGGCGCATGTGCCTCCAGCGTGTTACCGTGTGCATTTGCATGTGTCCATCTGTGTTCATTCATGACAGTGACCGTGCCCCTGTGAGTGGTACTGTGTGTGTACATGTGCACGCATCACCCCTGTGTTTGGCCACGAGTGTGTATGTCAGTGCGTTCCAGTCTCTCTGTGTGAGTGTCGTCCCCAACCCCCCATCCCCCCCTGGATCTCTAATTAGTGGTTTGGGGTTTGTTCCTTTTCCCTCCTGTTCCTTCCCTCAGCAGCGGCGGGCGGCAGCAGCAGTAGCAGCAGCAGCAGCCACCGAGCAGCAGCAAGGACTCTGGAGTCAGAGTAGGACTGTAGGACCGGAGCCCGAGCGGGAACGGGAGTGGAGCTGGCCTGGGAGACAGCGGATCCCTCCCAGCACCCTCAGGCCACCCGCTGCCTGCAGTCTCCCTGCCAGACCTCCAGAGAGGAAAGACTCGGGACAGCCAGCCCCAGGTTCCCCCAGGTACATGACGCTGGGGAGCGCTGGGAGGGGTGTCCACAGATGCCTGTGGGATTGCTGCCGCGTGTAGGACACCGGGGTCCACCATCCCTTTAACCTCTCCCCTCTGCAGCCCCTGACGAAGCCCTGACAACTGGCCCTTGTTGCTCTCCCCTTTTCCTGCCTCCTACCCCTTCCATGAGCGCCCCTTTTTCTCCTCTCCCTCCCTGATCCCTTCTTTGGGGAGCTTAGCAAATGGAGCAGGAAATTTGGACCCTCTGCCTCCCTCTCTCGCCCTCCTCATTGGATCCGGAGCCTTCTCCGCTGGGAAAGCTGTAATTAGAGGGTGGATCCCTACAGACAGAGAGCAGCCCCCCACCCCCTACCCCCCACCCCGGTCCCTTCTAACTTTAGATCTCTTCTCTCTCATTCTCCCATTCTCCCTCCCTCTCCCTTCTCTCTCTCTCCCCCCCCACGGCTCAGCTCTCTCCATCTGCCTGGCTCCTTGGGACCCGTTCCCCAACCTCAGGATGGCGTCCTCCGTGCTTGAGGTAACTGTCCCCTCTTCCCCCCAGGAAACCAGCCACAACCCTCATAGTCCTAGTCCCTGCCCACCCACCTCCTGCAACTCACATAGATAGTAACTGAGGTGCCTGTCAATTCCAGGGGTCCTTCTGATGTGGAGAGAGGAGTGGGATCCAAGAAGGGGAAGCAGGGGGCAGGAGAAAAGGGAGGGAAGAATAGGGCCGGGGGTCAGAGGGCAGTGAAAAGAAGGTGGGAGGGGATTAGGTCAGAAGGAAGAACGTATCCCAGCTAAGCACACTGTGAGGAGTGGAGAAGGGATGGGGATAGGAGGGGAGAGGCGGAGAGGGGACTGAGGAGAGAGGGGTGGGAACAGATAAGCTGGCAGCAGAGGTAGAAGGCAGAGAGGACTGGCTGAGGGGGCACAGAGCAGCAACTGGGTATAGTTCTTTGGGGGTCCTGTCTCCTGGGACTCGTATCCCAGGCGGGATCTTGCCTGTTATGTGGGGAGGGGGCTGGGCCCATGAGCTGGTGTGTGGAGGCGAGGAGGAAGGCTGTGGGAGAAAGGAGACCAGCCTGCGCCATCGGGGGCTGACCAGGGGAACTGAGCCCAGGCCTGAGAGGGAACCAAGGAGGAGGGACGGGGTCTGAGGCCGCTTGCCCGGCTCACAAATATTTAGCTTTCAGCCAAAGACAAACTCAGCTCTATTTTGGGAGTGGGAGGCTCCAGGGCGGACTGGGCCACTTCCCCTCTGGGCTGGGACCCCAGCATCCCTTGCCTCTGGCGCGGGGACAAAGGGAACTGGGGTACGATGGGGGTCAGGGTTTGGGGTCTTGAGAAATTTCTGACTCTACCAGGGCTTCTGGGGGACCCCAGCCACGGAGTTGGGAAGGGAGGGCTCACAGCCCCTCAGGGCCAGAGTCCTCCCTGCTTCTGGGTCTCTGACACTGTTCCTCTGTCACTATCTCTGTCTTGCTTTCTGGGCCTCTCTGCAGGAATTTAGGGCCAGTGGGCCCTCCCCAAAAGCCTTGACTCTTCCCCATTCTTGGGTCCCACATCTCTCTTCCCAGTGCCCTAGCTCAGGCCCAGGGGTGCTGGGCCAAGCAGGAAGCCGACTCAATCAACCTGTAGGAGAAGTGTGTGTGAGAGATGGGGCAGGAGTCTTTGAACACCTGTGTTCATTGGTCTGAGTATAATCATTAGGGTGCAGTGGAGTGTGCCCGCCCGCTGCTGGCTCTGTGAAAGAGAGAGACAGAGAGAGAGAGAGAAAGTTGGGCCATCTGAGTGCTATGAGTCCAGGTGAGGACTGGTGTGTGCAGAAGTCTGTGAGATCGTGAGTTTGTGGCTGAGTTTGGGGAATAGCATGCAAGCCAGCCAGATGGCCACCACATCCCTTGTCACACTCTGTATCCAGCCAGGGGTCTCTGGCTGTTGTACTCTACCCACAGCTGCAATGGGGGCAGACTGTCATCCTGCCACCTCCCCAACAGACTCTATTTTGAGCCATCATTGAAGCACTGTGGTCTTGAGGAATAAGAAGCATGGAAATCCTGGGTCCACCCAGGGCAGGGACAGTGTCAGTGGGCGTGGGCATCATGCCAGTGTTGCCAACGTGGCGCTGGTGGCTTGGGAGGGACTGGCTCAGAGGCCTGCTGGAAAGACATAGGATTGGGGTAGCGCATGGTGAGAGGAGGGTGTCGTGGAAGCTAGCCTTTCACGTCCCCTCACTCCTGCGAGCTGGAGATGCCTACAACACAGGCACACCAGTCCCTCCCGTCCATCTCTCTAACTCTCACCTAGTTTTTGGGTACCTGGGCCCTCAACTTCCTCCCCATCTCCCCAGGAACCCCTCCGCCTGGTATGAGTAGGCTCTCTGGTAGTGGGAAGAACTTGGGGTTCAGAGAGGGAAGCAGCTGCTGCTTGATGGGGGGGCTCACCTGGGCCAAGTGAAATGCAGGGGAACAGGAAGGAGGCAGAATTGTTGGATGCCTAGGTGGGAATGGAGAACTGGGAAGCCGGGAGAACTAACGAACTTGGGAGAAGGCTGAGAATGTTGAGAACTGGAAAATGGGATCTTGGCTGCTCGGAACCTAAGGCCAGTCAGCCCTGAGATGTCTAGTGAGATTCCCACTGGGAGGCCAGGCTGGGCACTGCACCCCTGGGAGGAGGGGTCCCGTTCCCCTGCTCCACATCTGGGTGGGAGAGTTGGGACCGCTCCTATCCTGTTCTTTTTCCAAACAGTCCCACTTCAATATTTTAAGTCTGTTTTTTTGTTTTGTTTTTATTTTTTTAAAGGTGGTGGGTGGAGGTCGGGAGGGAACAGCTGGAAGGTGGGACTACTGGGCCCTGGAAATGGAACACTTTTGATCAGGTATGGGGACACGTACTTAGAACTCTTAACGAGGACTCTTTCCCTGAGTTCCCAGGAGAGAACAATCAGCAAGAGAAGGAAACTGAGGCTGTGGTGAAACTTAGCCACGTGCTCAGCCCATAGCCTCCAGAGCATTCTGAGTGGGTCTGGTTCTTCCCTCCCCCTTCCCTGCCCTCAAGGGCCCTCTGGGCCTCCACTCCCCAGAGCTGGGGTCTCCTGTTGGCCTAGGGCTGGCTGCCTTCTTTCACCCCTCCTTCCCTCCCCACAGCTGGGTGGGGTCCCTGGGCTTGGCTGAGGCCCCTGTGGCCGCAGTGTGAGGGCCGGGCGGGGGACGGCGTCGGCGTTTTTAAAAATAAACCGACCGCAGGGAAACCATCGGAGCCGGGCTGGGCAGAGGGAGAGGGGGCGGTCAGGGGGGAGAAGGAGGGAGGAGTGGCCTGGTCTGGGGGTTTTCTGGGGCCCAGCCCCATGGTGGTTTTCTCTTAGGTAGGAAGTCTCCTTTCTTCTTCCTCCTCCCCCTTTTCTTTTTTCTGCTCCTTTCTTCTCCTCTCTGCTTTCCTTTCTTTTCTAGCCCAGTCTCTTTTCCATCATCTCTCCTTCTTAGTTTGTGTCTTTTTACCTTTCTGCATTTTTAGGTCCCTGCCTATTTCTGCCTCTTTTTTGTTGTTTTTGATACAGGGTCTTGCTCTGTTGCCCAGGCTGGAGTGCAGCGGGGCAATCATAGCTCACTGCAGCTTCTAACTACTGAGCTCAAGTGACCCTCCCATCTCAGCCTCCTGAGGAGCCTGGACTACAGGGGTGCACCACCAAGCCCAGCTAATCTTTATATTTGTTATGGAGATGGGGATCTCATTATGTTGCCCAGGCTGGTCTCAAACAACCCTCCCCAACTTGGCCTCCCAAAGCACTGGAATTACACCTATTTCTGCTATTTAATGCCGATTTTTCCTCTCTAGTCCTCCTTCCCCCATTGCTATGGGCCTTTTATGTCAATTTGTCACCCTACACAGGTCCTTTGTGCCCCATGTCTCTGAGTATCAGCCCCTCTCCTTTGAGCTCCATGTTTCTACCTCTTTTTTCTGCTAGGATTTGACTCCTCCTCATCAGCTACCCTGCTGTAGCTCACCCTCTGCTTGGAAGATCAGGGGTTCCAGGAAAACCCTGACTAGAAGCAACCGTGGGTGTTCACTGTGGTTAGACTGGAGAAAGCTTTTGGTGGCTCAGTTTGGGAGTCAACAGGACCTTAGAGGGAGGTAACTGCCCAGGAGGAGCAGCAGGTTTGCACTTGGGGAGTAGCGCGGGAGGGGCTGCACACACGCCTCATGGCAACCCCAGGGCCCCAGGCCCACCTCTCGGATGGGCATCATACACATGCTACATATTAGGAGCTGCCAGGCAGGTGTGAGAACCCTGGATTCTTGAGTTCTCTTCTCCGCTTTATTGGGAAAGCAACAGGCATATCAGCTTATGAAGACCCCAATCCTCAAAACTGCTTTTCTAGTCCTTTCAAACCCATATAACTGTATAGGGTTAGATTTTGAGGGCATTTTTTTTGGTGGGATTCCCAGCAATTCATGAATGTCTATGCCAGCCAGGGATGCTATAGAGCATTTCTTCCCTGGATGACACCCAAAGAGAGGTACCATGAGCTCCTGAGGGTGATTTGGCCTGGTAGCAACAGCATGGTGGCCATTAACAAGATACTTTACGTTTCGAAAAGACACCCATGCACTACATCCATGTCTTCCGTCATTCACGGTGCTAGAAGGACTATGTGTTAGGGGACGCTGAGGCATGGAGCAATGTGGCTGTGAGCCAGTATGTTAGTCACCCCAATTCCTTGCCTTGGAAGGGCATGATGACTTTGGGTTCTTCTAGCCCTCTCAGAGGGGTACCAGCTGGCACCACAAAGCAGGAGGTGCTCACTGCCTGCTTGAAAGGCATTCTTGTCTCAGCCACAGTTCTGGCTTGGCTGCAGCCCTGTTCCCTCTCAATGTCCCAGTGTCTCCACCATCACTTCCTCTTGCTCCCCAGCCTGAGTCCCTGCCAAGAGATTCCTTACCAGGGACATGAGGATTGGACCTCAGGGAGACCAGGCCACTGCCTTAGTCAGGAGCTGATGCAGCGACAGGAAACGAAATAGGGGGTATGGGATGAGGCTGGAAAATAAGGCATGGGAGCAAATACAGTCCTCTAATACTTTGGTCTTCTCCCCATGCTGCTCTTTGAGCCCCATCTTTCCTCTTCAAGACCCTGACCATGGCCTCGTTCTGCTCCAAACCGACTTCCAAGGGTCAGGATCCCCAATTCCCACCTCAGCTAGCTGCTGTCTCTTTCACCAGTTCTTCCCACAGCCATTTAAAAAGAGTTAGGCTGGGCACGATGGTTCACGCCAGTAATCCCAGCACTTTGGGAGGCAGAGGAGGGTGGATCATGAGCTCAATAGATCGAGACCATCCTGGTCAACATGGTGAAATCCTGTCTCTACTAAAAATACAAAAATTAGCTGGGCGTGGTGGTGTGTGCCTGTAGTACCAGCTACTCAGGAGACTGAGGCAGGAGAATTGCGTGAACCCAGGAGTGGAGGTTGCAATGAGTTGAGATCGTGCATTCCAGGTTGGCGACAGAGCAAGACTCTCTCTCTAAAAA